ATATGTCGACTGTCACGACACTCAGGATGAGCACGGTTAAACCCACAGACACGATAACAAGCCTCAGCCAACCTGGAAATGAAAGTAGAATAAAAACACTCAAACATTTTCTTCTCTTCTGTTTAAAATCCTGAAAACAAAAAGCAAAAAGCAAAAAGCAAAAAAGCAAAAAGACCTAAAAACAAAAAACAAAAAGCAAAAAACAAAAAGCAAAGAAGGAAAAAACAAAAAAACAAAAAGCAAAAAACAGTTTTTTTTTTATTGTCATAATTAAAACACGAAAAACAAAAAACAAAAGAAAATTGGACGAAACATTTAAGGAGTTTTTTTTTTTTAAACCAAAAATGAAAAAAACAAACAAAAAACAAGTGTTTTTATTGTCAGAATTAAAACATGAAAAACAACAACATCAAATTAGAAGAAACTTTATTTTCCTTGTTGAATTGAATAATGAAGAAAGGTAGTCATGTGGCATGGAAGTAAAGGTAAATATTTCAAAATAAAAGCCAAGAGGAACGAGTGGCCTTTCTATAAAGTGTAAAATTCTACAAACACAGACAGACAGATAAAGATCTTTTCATTTGCATTAAGACATGAAAAACGTGTCATCAGAAGTGTGTGATGTATTATTTATTTATATTATATACATATTAATAACCTGATTAACACTGTGTGGTCCTTCCCAGACAGTGTTGTCTACAGTGACCAGCAGAGGTCTCCACTGTCACCAGATCATCCTTCATCCTCTCATCAAATCACCTGATATTCTCCTCCATGATCGAGCTGCTGCTGCTTGTAGCCGACACTACAATCACATGGTGGACAAATCGATCTGCCACAGCTGTATTGATCACGGTCATATCAGCAGCTTTTAGGCTATTGATTCAATCATTAAGAGCAAAGTAACCATAACTACATATACCGTGGCTGTTTTACACATTATTGACCTCTGAGGTCGAGTTTCAACATAAACCAGAAACATTCAAATTCGGTTCAGTTCTGTTTTTCACTTTTTTTCATTTTTAAAAGAAAAAAGAAAACCTAAATAACTTGGTTTTTGTGTTTTTTTGGTTTGAAATGAAAAAAACGAACTCGAACTAATCAATATTTCCACCCAGCCAAGTGTCAGTCTGATTACCAAGAGTGCTGCCGAAGCCCCGGCCACAGCGGCGTATAACCGCCAGTCTGGGAAGAGGATGGAAATATTAGAAAACTAAACGTTGTGGTTGCAGCTTTCTCTAAAGTCTGAGTCAGTACCTGGTTGTGTAGGTGACGTGTCACTGTGGTCAGGTGCTGCTGGGTCCATCCGGGAATTCTTCCTGTTTTCAGTTGTTGTTTGGACAGTTGTTGTCCTGTCCTCACCTGGACAAATGAAAGAACAAAACCCAACAATTCACATCAGATTAAGGTGATTATAAACAGCTCATCATACACTCACCTGGTTTCTCACCTGAGGACGGAGCACTGAAGGTAAACAGCTGCACTTTTCCTCTGAGACCATCAGTCACTTCACACTGAAACAACTCATGATACTTTGGCTTCTTGAGAAGAGAGGAAGGAAACGTGACAGTAGCTGAGCTCTTAGACTGTGATGTCTTTATGTCTGTGTTGCCTTCATCCACATTCTGACGCTCATGCAGCCACTTCACTGTGTGTGTGAGACCTGGAGCAGCTGATACAGAGCAGGTAAACTTCACCTCATCACCGTCCTTCTGTTCAGTCACTGGTGAAGACGGAGACATTGAGAGAGAAAGACAAGAGAGAAATGAACTTCATCACTGTAATAATCATCATGATTGTAAAGTTTCAGTGTTTTGTTCTAACAGACAGTTTGATGTAAATACTCACTGGTAACAACAGACAGATAAACCAGAGTGTATTGATCATGTTGTCCTGATCTAGACTGTTGACAGTCGTAGCGATCAGTGTCTCTGGCTGTGACCTTCTTCAGAACCAGAGAACAGTTCTCTGTCAGACTCAGTCTGTCTGATTTAGGGTTGGCATCTTTAACAATCTTCCCTTGTCTAACCAGGTGTGTGTTTCTTGAGCCAATTAAGATCCAGTTAGTCCTGTCACATTCATCCTGATCATTGAACACATATTTACAGGACATAGTGACGTCATCTCCATCTCTGACAAAGACGGAGGAGGAATATTGTCCCGTCACTTCTGTGGAGAAGATGAGAGAGAAAAATAAAATTGTATATTTACTCTGCATTCAGAAAGTATTCAGCTTCACCTTTATCACATGTTCTAGCCTTTCTGCAGCCTCATGATAAAAGTAAAAAAAATATAAAATATGAACCATTCATGTGAAATTCTGTCATAATAACTGTCTTGATTAAGGAAAAAGTGTTTTGTGAGGTCACTGTGAGCTTGACCTTTGACCTTTAGCCACCAAAATCTAACCAGGTGTCAGATTTTAAGAAGTTCCGTCCACGAGAATGAGACGTAGAGACAACCTGAAAACAAACGTCTCTGTCGCCGGCGCATCAGTCTACACTCAATCCTCCATGATGACAAAGTCTAAACAGGAGTTTAGACATTTTTACAAAGTTATTAAAAAGGAAAAACTGAAATATCACAAGCTCAGAGACAGGACTGTGTCGAGGCTCAAAAACATTTCAGCTGCAGAAGGTTCCCAAGAAGAAGAAGAAGAAGTCTGAAACCACCAGGACTCTTCTGGAGCTGGACCCGGACTCACTGAGACATGAGGGGAGAAGGATCCATCACTGCAGCTCTGCACTGATCTGGTCTTAATGGCAGAGAGTCCGGACGAAGCCTCTCCTCAGTAAAAGCAGCTAAAGGGCTCTGAGACTGTGAGGACCCGGACTCTCTGGTCGGATGAGACCAGGACTGAACCTTTGGCCTCAGTTTAGACGCTTGCAACTGGTTGTTATGTGAATAATCACTGTTAATAGAGATAAGGTTCATATTTATAACGTGTATTTGTGTGTATGTATTCTTACCTGTGAACTGAAGAGCCACAATCACAAATAAAGACACTTTCATCCACCTGAGTCCAACCATCGTCACGCTCCAGTCGTTTTCTGTCTCTTCTCAGCTGTGAACTGTCCGAGTCTGAGATCTGATGCATGTTGACTTCCTGTTGTCATTAATGTGTCACTTCCTCATTTTTACTAGGTTCTTTGGAAAGTTGCCAAATTCATACTGAAAAATATATAAATATAACATTTTGGTTTTTACTTCTGTTTTCCAGAACAGAGCTACTAACTCTCGTCAGTGTTGTTTAAATCCATGTTAGTGAGCACTGACAGGTGTGGCATATCCAGGTGCTGAATACACAACATAATTATTGCACAGGTCTGTCACAATAAGAGGCCACTTTAAAATGTAAAGTTTTATTTTGAAAAGACATTTACTTGCCACTGAACTCTGGATTTCACATGAATTGTGCCACAGATGTGCATTTTTTAAATATTATATTATATTTATTATATAGAGTATATATATTATATTTATATTATATATTTGCTTCAGTGTAGATGCAAAGTGATCACAAGCTGCAGATGTCCAGCTACATACTGCGAGTCATTCTCACCTCTGGTGTCAGGCAGGAAGTTGAACCAGGACTGAGGAAGTTCGATGTTTGATCGTTAGTTAAGATGAATGTTGCTAAAGAGCAGCTCGGCTTCTCTTTACATAGAGTCTATTAGAAGACGGACAGTTGCCATGGTGATGTTTGACAGCTCACATGAACAGACAGACAGTACATGTTCACATCGCTCATTATCTCACTGTAATTATGAAAGTCCAAACACATGCAGGTTGATTAGTGACTCTAAACTGCCTGTAGGTGTGAACGTCTCTGTATGTCAGACCTGTGACGGACTGGTGACCTGTCCATGTTGAACCCCACCCTCAACCAACATCAGCTGGGATTGGCTCCAGCCCCCCAGGCCTGAAGCCCGAGACCTAAGTGGATTAGAAGTATGGCCAATGAATGAATTAAAGAATGATTATGAAAATGCTTTATGCTTTATTAATCTCATGGCAAGAAATGTGGGCAGCCTGGTTACACACTGCAGAGCAGACAACAACAACAACAACAACAACAACATCAACAACAACACACTTCCTCTATTTGTAGCAAAGTGGCTTCAGTCTCCATGTTACAACAGAGCCCTCTGGTGGACTAATATTTAACACACTCAGTGTCAGGTTACCACTGAACAGTCAGGTTATACATCGTACACAGATAAGAAAACTATTAAACAGGAACAACACAGAAAATGTTCTCTAAGGTTTGGACTGTGAAGAGCATCAGTGCAGAATCAAGTGAACAACACACACTGATCTACTGTCCTTTAATCTAACAGCCATGGTGTGCTCATTAGTCCAGCTGCCATCACTGCTTATCTAGCTCCAGTATCTTATATTTCTTCCCACACCCTTCTCTGACCTGCTGCACCATTAAACTGTCTTTGAAACCTTCGCTCAGCTGCTCCATCAGAGCCAGTGGATACATTTACTTTCAAAATTCACCTTTTTACATCACTGGTTTTTACAATTGTGCATTAAGCAGGTTAATGGAAACACATCTACAGTTTACCTCAACCAAGCATCAACCTCCGAGGCTGGAAAGTGAATTCAACAGTGAAGAACCAGAAGCTGCAGTTCCTCTAATGGCCACTAGAGTCTGGCTCCAACAGTGAGTCAGTCCCCATAGACTCCCATGTTAAAATGTCCAACTTTACAGCAGAAATAAACATGTTTACAGCCTGGTACAAAAACTGTTTTGGTCTCTAGAGCTAATTTCCTCCTTCGTGACACCTGTTTATATAACTCACCTGTTTATATAACTCAGCCACCCTCCTCTTTGACCATATTTGGATTAGCTGGGAGTTAGGGGCGGAGTCAGACACTGCCAAGATGGTGATGGTGGAACAGTTCACTCTGAGCTTCAAAACCGCTCTTAAGAAACCTGCTGGTGATGTCACAGCCTTACCAGGAGCTGCTACGCCAACATGTGAAACCCATGTTTGTGTATCACTCTCCTGTAAGGCTCTACAAGGTCATAAATACATTCTCTGTGTTTTATAGACTTCAGTCTTTTTGTCTTGGCTGTTTGAAAGATTTTCTCTCTGGTTAATTTCCGCAGTGAAGACGTCAGGAGACGTCTGGAGACACCGTCAACATCATAGGGTTAATTTCCTCTGTGGCAGTAAATCACTCTGAAAGACTTACTACAGAAGAACTTCAAAACTCTCACTAGCCTAGCAACATTAAGGCTACAAACAACCCATAATGCAACATTCTAATATCTGACTTTGTAAAGATGTAACCTCTCAAATATAAGACCTTTCCTACTTTTTCAACTCTAACTTCTAGGTAGGATCACCAGGTAACATCATGCTAAATAACAACAAGAAGTTAACGACAAGGTAAGTCACCTAGCATGTTTCCTTCACCGGTTGCATACTGCTTGACCAATAAAACTAATCATTTACTTCACCTCAGCAACAAAGCAACTAAAGCACAGACATCTCTAAAGCTGGAATTATGCTTTATGAAGAACTTGGCCCATAAACAGAAGCACGACCCTGATGCACGTTCAGCCTCATGTGTTTGGGTTGTTTACGGTGGCGTAGAGGGAACTCTGACCATGGTGTAGGTCAATGCATCATCTTCATCATCATCACCGTCATTATGTTGAACCTGAGGAATAGCAGGGAGACAGCATAGCATGTAAAGTGACATTCACAGAAACACAACACAACAATACATAATGTAGCAGGAGTTAAAACCCTGACGTTTCTGTTTTCATTTGTTGATCATGAGAAATCTTGTGTGTGAAGCTGACGTATTTATCTTCTGGGATCCATGAATATTTATTTCAGCTGCATGTAATGTTTTTTTTTTTTTCCTTTCATTCATTCCCAAAAAACTTGTTTTTATTATTTTTATCATCTACTAACAACAACAGTAGAACCAAAGACAGCTTTACCCGGGCTTTACTCTTGGTCTTCTTGTTGAAGCTGATGGAGGCGTAGGAAACACCATCTTCAGGATCAGCCTGCACAGTGAGGACAATGAAAGTGTTCAGATCCTCAACTTAGGAAAAAAGGACCAATACAGACAATTCAAAATACTTCATTACAAGTAAAGTCCTGCATGAAAAATCCTACTTTTATTTACTCAAGTAGTTCATGAGAATCAGCAGCAAAATGTAGTTAAAGTATCAAAGTAAAAGTGACTGATTTATAATAATATATGCCGTCATTAGATGATTAATACTGAAGGATCAATGTGTCAGCAGCATGTTACTGTTGTAGCTGTTGCAGGTGGAACTGGTTTGAACTAATTTATATACAATTCTCTAAACAAAGTGCCAAAAGCTGCAGTTCCTCTAATGGCCACTAGAGTCTGGCTCCAACAGTGAGTCAGTCCCCATAGACTCCCATGTTAAAATGTCCAACTTTACAGCAGAAATAAACATGTTTACAGCCTGGTACAGAAACTGTTTTGGTCTCTAGAGCCGAGATTTTATTAAACTCATCTATTTAAAATCTATTAAGTCACACATAACTACAGAATTATGTGTAACTTCATTGAGGTTTAGCATCTCGTAAGACGACTGGTTGCCTATTGTGTCTGAGGTCAAGAATCTGCTGTCTCAAAAATTTCAAGTGGAAAACCTGCCACTGTTATCACTGTAAAATCAACAGCCATGGCAGAAGGAGCTTTTTGCTTAGTGAACTCAGATTTAAAACTCACAGTGTCTGGATCCACCTGCGTTTTCTTCCCTAAAGAGACAAAAGAGGGAGTCAGAACTCGCTTCTCATCAAACATTCAGAAATTGAGTCTCACCAGTGAAAGTTCTCACCTTTAGTTCTCTTCTGTCTGATGAGCACAACAACAATCACTGCTGCCAAAACCACAGGTACAACAATGAACGCCCACAAACCTGAATGAATGAATGAAAACATTAGAAACATTTTGGCTGATGCTCTTGCTTTTTTTAAAAATCACAAATATAAAACAGGAAAGAGTTGTTTTTCACTATGAGATCTATTTCATTCAAGAAACTGGAACGAAGAAACCTCCATCTGACCACCTGTTAAATCTCATCTGGCTTCAGGTAAATACAGCTGGGTGTCGTCTGCATAATAACAGATATTTATGTGGTGCTTTTTACTTTTTACAGTGCTAAAATAAAGTAAGAGAGATTGCGCAGTGACTCCCAAACTGAGGGTTGGCCTCCGTATTGTTCAAGATCAAATGTGCCCCGCCAATATTTTTGATATTTTCAAGTGGGCCATGAGACAGAAAAGGTTGGGAAACACTGAACTAGCAACATGAAAATTAGTGAGACGAAGTCACCTTGTTGTTTTGGAGTGTTGTTTGTACCTGTTGGTGTTGCATTAGTTTCAGTTGTTGCTTCAGTTGGTGATTTTGTTTCAGTTGCTGGTTTTGTTCCAGTTGCTGGTTTTGCTTCAGTTGCTGGTTTTGCTTCAGTTGCTGGTTTTGCTTCAGTTGCTGGTTTTGTTTCAGTTGCTGGTTTTGTTTCAGTTGCTGGTTTTGCTTCAGTTGCTGGTTTTGCTTCAGTTGCTGGTTTTGCTTCAGTTGCTGGTTTTGCTTCAGTTGCTGGTTTTGCTTCAGTTGCTGGTTTTGCTTCAGTTGCTGGTTTTGCTTCAGTTGCTGGTTTTGCTTCAGTTGCTGGTTTTGCTTCAGTTGCTGGTTTTGCTTCAGTTGCTGGTTTTGCTTCAGTTGCTGGTTTTGCTTCAGTTGCTGGTTTTGCTTCAGTTGCTGGTTTTGCTTCAGTTGCTGGTTTTGCTTCAGTTGCTGGTTTTGCTGTTGTGGTTTTGGTTGTTTTCTCTTTGTCACCTTCACCTGAACAGATGAATAACAAACCTTGACAAACTACAGTGAGAAAACACCTGATGTTTATCACCTGCAGTGACTAAATGAGAATGAATCAAACCTTCTTCAAGGTTTGAAGTGATTTTAAACAGCTGATCATGTTCTCACCTGAGGACCGAGGGATGAAGGGAAACTGCTGAATGTTTCCAGTGAAATCAAACACTTCACACTTGAATAACTCAGGATACTTTGACTTTTCAATAAGAGAAGAATGAAAAGTCACAGTGGCTGAGCACACAGACTGTGATGTTGTGATTTTTACTGTATCATTATCCACATGTTTGTCCTCAAACAGCCACTTCACAGTGTGTATGCACCCATTATACATCGACACAGAGCAGCTCAACGTCACCTTATCACCGTCCTCATGTTCAGTCACTGGTGAAGACGGAGACATTGAGAGAGAAAGACAAGAGAGAAATTAACTTCATCACTCGTCATTATTGTGATGTAATATATTGTTATAATGAGACAGTTTGAGCTGAGAACATGATGTAAATACTCACTGTCAATAACAAACAGATATTTCTGACTTTGGCCTGATCTTGACTGACAGTTGTATTGACCACCATCTCCAGCTGTGACCTTCTTTATAAGCAGAGAACATTTCTCTGTGAGATTCATTCTGTCTTTGACCTTCTCACTGATCCTTCCATGTAAAATCAGTTCTACTGGATCTGAGGTTGTTGAACCAGTGAATGTCCAGGTGATACGGCCACATTCACCCTGATCATCTGCCACATTCTTACAAGGCAAAGTGACGTCTTCTCCGTCTCTGACCATGGGGACAATTTGTCCAGTTACTGCTGTTGAGAAAAGGAGAGAAATATGAAGAATGAACCAAAGCAAAAGAAAAGACAGACGTGCACATTATTGTGAAAATCAGAAACATCCTGTCTCAGATGAAGCTGAAAAACTAGTCCCTGTATTTGTTACCTCCAGACTGGACCACTGTCATTCTCTATGATCAGGATGTCCCAGTAACTCAGTGGAAAGCAGGAAGTAGGTTTGGTCTCAACATTGGTCGGGACACAACGACCTCACCACCCCTCCAAAACAAAGAGGACCTTTTAACGCTGTCAACTGAATGGTTAATTAACGAATAAGATCTGAATTAAATTAAACTAACAGTAACAGATCAAAGACCAGGTGACTGGGGAAAGACTAAGGTGAGCCCTGAACCATCCGTTAGTGATGCTGCTATAGACCTAGACTGCTGGGGGAACTCCCATGATGCATTGAGCTCTCTCTCTTTCTAACACATCAACGCTCTGAGTCTCTGCTGCTGTTGGTGTATTCATGCAGAAACCATCACATTAGTTCACATCATGAACATTAGTAATTAACCATGAATGTGATTAAGTCATTAACAGAGAACAGTGAAATCAAATGTCTCGTGCTTCACAGATTATCTGGTGGTAATTAAAATATATTCATTAGGAGCCTATTAATAAAGAACGTGGCCCTGGTGTTACTTGGTACCGGGTCAGAACCAGGTTCTGAGGCACCACCCACCCCTGACTCAAACGTCTACACGTCCCCTTCAAGGCAGGTGAGGAAAAGCAGTGTTCAGCAGGAGGTGAACAAGGCGTCTGTTGTGTAACAGTCAGTGTGAAATGTTGTGGTTAGATTCACAGAACTGATGTGCAAATGTCCACCACTCACACAACAACAGATCACAGACATGAAGCAGTTTGTCACTGTGACATTAAAACCAGTTGTGATCTGAACAGGGAGGTTTTTCACTGAAGTCACAGAGTTAAACACAAACAGTGAAGTTGACTGTCTTTTTAATGTGAAGGTTAATTAATAAAACAGCATGAAAAGGTCGACGTGTGTAATGTTTCTGTTATTGATAGATGTTAAATGTTTCCTCACCTGTAATCTGGAGCAACAGCATCAGAAACACGGACATTTGAATCCATCTGAATTCAACCATGGTGCTTTTCTGTCTCTCTCCGTCTCTTCATCAGTCTGTGAACTGCTGCCTCTGACAGAGGAATACAGTATATATCACCTTTGATCAAGACAGAGTCACTTCCTCAAAGTCTGTTCTTCCTCATGTAGGAGGAGCGTGTGAACTCTTCTTCTGAGACTTTGTGAAGGTGTTGATGTTATAAACTTTACTAACTTACATTGAACGCACCTGCAGGTCACTGATCCCCAATTCTCTCATCAACAATATAAGAAGCAACCGACATTAAAGAGGTCAGATGTCACAGACGTTACTACGGCAACACGCTGTGCCATGTAGCCAACCAACAAACCCACAGTGTGTCCGTTCTCACGCTCCATTAGTGACATGTGACATGTGACGTGTTCGACCACATGAAAAGAAGAAGGGATAGAGGAAGTTAAAGGTGTGAAGACTGTTAGACTCCTCCTCTCTTCAGAAAACAGATGATATCTAAAAGACGTCAGACATTTTGATTTGTAGTTTTTCTGAGAACTGAGGGGGAGGAGCTTTGGTGAGAATGTGGGTTAAACAGCAGCAGAGCTCGTGACCACATCAATATCAGAAACACAAATGGGTGACGAGTGTCTGACTGTCGGAGTCAGAGCACAAAGTCTCCACGCTAAAAATACAGTTACACAAAAACACACACTTGAGCTCAACCACACAACCAGAAGAGTTTCTACAGTGTTTACTGACTGGAGGTTTTTCATGCTGCATGCACACTGCACAGGAAACTGAGCTCCAGGGAAAATGACAGCATCAGTCATTTCAGCAAGTGCTCCATGACGACACATGTTCACGCCCAAGTGGCCGAGTGTGTCTGGAGCAAAGGAGGAAGTTATGTGAGCTTGTGGTGTGTGACAGTAGGAGTATGATGAGAGGAGAGAGGGAGGTTATAGAGGCGGGGCTTAATACACTTCCATTATCAAACACTTGAACATGAAAAACAAGATGACAAATCAGTTGATTGTTAAAGATTTCTTCATTTGTAGATTATATCATCATCACTTACAGACAGACACGTATATATCCCAACAAAGACGTGGCAACAACACTGCTAAAAGAGAGAGAGTTCAAAGAAGTACCTCCGTACACTGAGAGATGAAACTGAGCTTCAACAACAATCTGCACCATCTAATATCTGACAGGTCTGAAGCTGTGAAGGTGTTTGATGAAGGTTGAATCCAGCTGCTGTGAACTGAACTGGCTGCAGAGGAGAAAAGCTTCCAGCTTGTTGATCAGCGGATTCTGACAGAGGAAGAAGGTTCTCCAAAGTTTTCATAGCTCACTCTACCTTCATCTTCATCTTCATCACCGTGTACCTGTGACAAAAGAAGAAAAAGCACTGTTAAAATAAAACAAACTAGAAAGGCACTCAGACGAGCACATACCTCCGACAAGGCTCAACAATCCTACACATCTTTCAGGTCCAGATTATTGATGAATCCAGATTATTCTCTGGATCTGCACCAAATTCTATAAATTTATCCTGTGAAGTCGCCGGAAATGTCTACAACATGGCCTCTCTCGCAATGTTGAGGAGAGTAATTAAGAAGAATTACTGGATCGGCTCCTTTCACTGGATCTGCACCAAAAGGTAATTTGTCCCTGGCCTATGACCCATCCCTCCCACAGGGTTGGTGCTAATCAGTTCAGTAGTTGTTTAGTAATCCTGCTGACACATTCTCAAGTGTAGCTGTACAACCTACCAACCGACCAACCGACCAACCAACCAATCAAACAACTAACCAACCAACCAACTAACTAACCACCAACCAACAACCAACAAACGACTGACCGACCGACCGACCAAACAAACAACCAACCAACCAACCAACCAACCAACCAACCAACCAACCAACCAACCAACCAACCAAACAACTAACCAACCGACCAACCAACCAACCAAACAAACAACCAACCAACCAACCAACCAACCAACCAACCAAC